TCAATCAACTTTTGTTAGGTTGTTAAAAACATACCCTTCAATCCATTTTTGTTAGTTTTTTTAATACATGCCTTTCAATCAACTTTTGCATAAAAATAGTATGCAACTAAAAATGACTTTGGTGACTGATGATGATACCAAGAAATAAAAACTAAAATGTTTAAATATTTTGAGGGAAAGTTACATTAAAAAAATTAATTTTGATTACTGTAAATGTAGCATGTATATAATGGATGTAAACTTTAATGGTACCGTAATAAATTATGATTATTTTTTGGTCAAAAAAGACTAAACCTTTTTGTGCAGCTCTTCTTGCCTCACAATTGTTGTTTTCATTATATTTGAACTTTTTACATTCAGGGAGTCTACTTTTGCTTTAATTGATTCATATCTTACTCCAGTAATGTTTTTAAGACATGCAACAAAGTGTATGAAGATTAACTGCGCCCTTTGGCACTGATTTTTGAACACTAAAGCCCATGAAGGGATTTTATAGGGCTAACAATAAACATGAAAACATAATAACAAAATGATTATATTTTTTAATCTATGAGGAGACAAAGTTGGATGGTTTTATCAAATATATCATGATGAAACTTGTGAAGATATAAAAAGCAGCTGAGAAACAGATTTAAAATATTCATTTTTACTTCATGGTAAGATTGTACTGGTTGCAGATGAAAAGGTTTTGAAATTGAATTTTTCACTGAGAAGTCATAAGTTCAGCTCTATATCAATTCATTCTGTGGATGGTGTAAGCTTTGAAAAGGAATACAACCTTTATCTTGTCATTTATTGGGGGAAAAATTGAATATTAAGATATAAAAAATTTAATGAAACATCACTATCATAGGTTAGCCTTATGCCATTTATTATTCAAATTATTCCATAATGTAATCTGCATAAACAACCACAATTTTCTGCTTGATTTCATCTTTTGAAAGAAGAAAACAAATGATGAGTTTATTAAAATTACCTGAAAGATAGGAACAATTTTATTTTTGTTAATCTAATATTTTTCAGAGTAATAGTTGGTAATACGGAAAAGATTATTTCATCCATGACTATTGTATTGAATAATTAAGGGATGCTTTAAATAACCCAACATATTTATCTAGATATGGAGATTTTTATAATTACCGGTAAATAAAAATTTATCTAGGTTTGGTGAGTTTAAATCCAGGTCAGGTTACAAAATGAAGGCTGGATTTAGAGTAATGATATTACACATTGAGTTGAATCATCAACACAATGCACAGACACCAAACTTCTAGTGTACTGAATAGTAGCTGGTTGGGTGTTTTACTTCAAAGGATGGATTAAACAAGTGGGATATACTAGATCTTGCAAAGCCAGCGGAATAGTGAAACCAAGCTCTAAAGTCTCCAGATATTTTCATATTCTTGTGAATTTTATTCTAGAATAAAAATTTAAGGTCAAAATACATAGATAAATACTTTTCATAATATTAATAATATGTACTTTGTTTTGACATTATTTGAGCTATTAATAAAAAAGTATTGATATATAAATTGATGAATCTTTGGTTTGTTTGTGAATAAATGGAAATTTTACTTGACAAATGATGATGATCTGGTTAGAATATTGCATTATAATTTAAATTAAAACTAGTCTTAACAAATATGACATTAAATAGGAGTAATAAAAGTTGAGAAATAAAATACATTATCATTTAGACTACAAATCATGTACATATTAATCAGCACAACAAATCAATTTGAAATATGACCAGAGCTTCGCAGCTATGCATCTTGCAGGTTTAATATCATAATTTCTGAATGGGTGATTTGACATATAAAAAAAGGGATATTACTGTCCAAGTCAATTTTAAATAAAGAAATCATAAAATGTATAATAGCACAGAAATAGTAAATTAAGTTTAAGTCTAGGGGTTCCCAACATTTTTTTTTGTGTGGGAATGCAAAATGACCCTGATGCATACATATTTTAAGATTAAAAAAGAAATTAAAATATGGATAGTGAATTGCATTAATTTAGATTTAAAATATGTCTTGGTAGAGGGTCATTATTCTGAAATGTAATTTAAATTCCTTAATGAACTTGGCCAATCCAGACAGAAATGACCATTTAGAAAAGGTAGTAGTGAAATTATCAGGGGCAACAATTTAAAAAAGAAATCTTGGAAATTCTGTATCAAAGACTATTTTTGGAAATCAGGACAAAAATCATTGAATTGTGTCGATAACTCCTGGTAGGCACGATTTGTCGATGGAGCAACCTCTAATTTCTTAGTTACTTTGTCTATTTCTACAGTTTAAAAAAAAAAAAAAAAAGCTACTTTAAAAAAAAAAAAAAATACTTTTAAAAAAAAAAAAAAAAAAAAAAGCTACTTTAAAAAAAAAAAAGACATCCTTTTGAAGATAAACTAAAAGCAGAAAATCATTTTCTTAATATTCAGTATGCAAAGATAGAATGTGCATAAGCCCAAGTGTAGTAATGCAATCTTTGAAGAAAGAGGATTCCAATTAAATGTAGACTTATAGACATTAACTTAAATATGAACTAATACCCGTATGCTGTTTCCTGTTATGATCAGTCCGTATAACTATGATGTGTCTTAATAAAACATTAGCATGGGGGTATATAAAGCCAAAGGCCCGGCAAAATATACTTTGCCCAAGGTCCTGCACCCCCTAGAGCCGGTCTTGGTTAAATTCCTTGACAATTAATTAGACTCAACACTTTTAAGAACTGCTGCAGTGAATAATGGGAGACAACCATTTTATTTCACTTGACAACATAGTGTGATAGGGTAAACGTTAAGTTAGCGTAATATCAATAAAAATTAATAAATCATTGTCATTACAGGCCCAATTTTGTAATTTCTGCATTAAAAATTTTGATGAAAAAGGAAAAAGTTATACTTTTTAAATAGACATTTTCTCTACAGTCTTTCATGCTGTTATAATACAGTTTTAATTTAGTGAAACGGGTAATGCCAATGCCTAAAACTTAAGTCTAAAACTAAAGTTACGTCAAACTTAAATTATAATTTGACGAGCTTTGCCCCCCACCCCCCTTTAAAAAAAATATGTAACAAAATTATACACTTTTATCACCAACTGTCACAAATGCGAACCCCCCCCTTTAAAAAAAATATGTAACCAAATTATACACTTTTATCACCAACTCTCACAAATGCGAACCCCCCCCCCCCCCTTTTTATTTTCTAGACACTTGACGTCGTTATTAATGGAGACATTTTAATTTCAATTTTTCATTCAATAATCACTTGTGTGACTGTGGGCTGTGGGATGGCTCCAAAAAGCCCTAACCAAAGAACATATCTACTAATAATTCCTAATGTCACTATTGCTACTTTTTTCAAAAATCAATTATATTTTTAAGACTACGGAATACGAAGTTCAAAGTCAAAGAAAAACAAGAGCAATAAATTAAATATACCAGTACATTAAATAGCACAACACCGGGAAAATCCCATAAGAAACCTGCTACCGGTACGGTAATCTGTAATAGCAACTTGGTTATGTTAAAGTAACGTTATATTTTCTTTTGATTAATAATAGTTAGTTACTTTTCTGGTTCATTCACCATTAATAATTTAAATCGAACGTAAAGCCTATGATTATGGCTTATTTTTAAAGTTTAGCATGCTTTTTTTCCATTCCTTACAAATTACAACTGATAGTCTTAAAACCAGTTTGTCGCCGACAGATTCAGTTCGCTCCTCAATTTTTTTTAAAAACTTTGGACTCTTTCGAATTCGGAATAAGCCCACTCTTAACATCTAATACTAATACTAATATATATTACAATTACTAAGCCCTAGAACTTTTTAAGTCAATAGTAACTATATAAATAGGCATAGGCGTAAAATCACATATTATTATACTGGTAGCGCAAAAAAAGTAATTGCCAATACTAGCATTTTTAAAATTAAATACTAATACTAATACTGGTTTTGATTATTAGGCTACTACTACTACATTATTAATTAATTTTATTTAGATTTAATCAAAAATGAATTTGTCAATTAACCTAAAATAAATTCAATAATTTAACAATTCAGTACCCTAACGGCCGGCCAATACAAGTTCAAAATACAAGATAAAAAAATTCAAATTCAAGCCATTAAGCTCCTGCAATCTGATCTCTGTCATTTTTTTGGGGTCTATATTAGGCTAATTATAATAATATTAAGTATGTTATGTATTTTTGATTTGAATATGTGTGGTCTATCTGGGTTTGGAGACTTGGGAAGTAATCAAAATCCAATTTATTAATTTCAAAATCTTTTCTAAAAGTCACCTTTAAATTTAAAATCATATAATATGGTATTACTAGATAATTTTATCAGAAAAAAATTGGATTTTGTTAATCCTGCCGAAAATGTAATTTGTAAATATTGATGAACTTGAAATGCAAAAAATAATTGAATGCACTAAAATATGAGATTACCTTATAGGTCTAGAGTAGGCCTATTATTATACACCACATAATAGGCCTACTATACACCACATAATAGGCCTACTGAGTCCAAGGTGGTAGTTTCAGTAGCGTACCTTGACAATATTATATCTAGGCCTCCACCCATCACCCTCAATAGGTTCGTCACTGAGTTGGCCTTTTCTCACGAAATCTCAGTCTATCCTATTTATTATAGTATTAACTTTTATTTTTATAAATAATAGCCTAATAATAATAAGTTATATTTAGATTCTCTTAAATTCAGGATTGACAATCACAATGTAAAAATTGAATAGGATATACTGGTAGTCTAGAGAAAGAAAGAAGTCAAAGTCCTTAATTATTCAAAAATAAATTATGAATCAGATTACTCTTACAGTAAAATTATGTATGTTTCCACTTGTATCTTTTAACTTACATTTTAAATTTCCCCCACTGCCAGGGATTCATGAATATTATATGCAGTAAATTAATCATACTACTGATACTGAATTAAATGTGTGTGTTTTTCCCACCCAACGCCGTGCACAGAATTAGGAGCAATGGATCTATTTTCTAGAGGAGAAGCTTTGAACTTTTTGGAACACAATCTCAAGGTGACAAATGTTCAACAAAGAATCATCTCAGATAGGAAAGCTCTTTTAGATGAAGTAGCTACAAATATTCAGATCCACCTTGTTTTTCAGAATCTGCGTCTATTGAGTGAACCGCTTGAAGCAAGGTAACTAAAGCAAGTTTTTTTCACACATCATAAAAGATACTTCATGAAAGAGATAATTAGATCTTTCTTATGTGTTTTTAACGTTATTGTTCCATAATTATTATATTAATTATTAATATGACTTTAACATTTTACACAACAGACATAGACCTAGTTTTAAGGAGATCAAAGCAGACCTAAAATTAGGAATAGGTGGTCTCTGTTACAACCTGAATGTTGCTGCCTATTTCTTGCTCAAAACCATTGGATTTGATGCAGTTCTGGCTCATGCTACTTGTACTTCAAGCACCCTCTTCCATGACAACCATGTTGTAGTGTATGTAAGAAATGTAGAGAGAACTGGTGACAATTTTATAGTTGAAGTTGGATTTGGTTTCCCGACATTCCGTGCTGTGAGCTTGGATTTTGAGAAAGAGTCCCCTGTCTATATAGATTCTTTTATTGAATACAAATATATTAAGTATGAAGGGAACATTCTGAGAATGCATAGAAAAGGAGAACTGGTCAAAGGATCAACCAATACGCCAGATGGTGTGAACTTTTTCTTGGATGGTTGGAGGAGATTTTACTTTGCAGATCCCAAAAGGTTTACAAGCAATATTGAGGAGTTTTATGAGCCCTTTGATCAGGTCAGTAAGAATGAGCCAATTATTTATTATATGTTAAATTATGTGATGTTTCTTAGAATAACGGTCCCATATAAATATTTTACCAATATTGGTAATTAATCAATTTAAATATTTTGAATTATAACAATAAGTCTGGCTTATTTTTTTTAAACTAGAAAAACACAGATATATCATTGTATTAGGTGAAAAAAATTAACAAGCATAGTTTTGAACAGTATCTCTCCTCTAATCTCTTCATGGAACCACTTCAGGTATTTAAGAACCCAAGTGCTTCACCATTTCATATGTCGTTCAGGGTTATTGGTTTTCCTGGTCGAAAGGCAATTATGGTTATCAATGAAAAAACACTAATTGAAAATGACCAAGGTAAGTTGTAATGTGCTTCCTTTCAATTTATTAGTTTTTATAAACAATATTAATGAAAAGTTGAGATAATTAGTCTTCTTGACAAATATATGTCATTCAAAATAAAATATATATACCTGGTATTGTTGTTTGGCTTTATTAAAAATATATTTTTTTTTTAAACAGGAGAGTTGATTTCATCTAATATTGAAGGAGGTGATGAAGGAATTATTCAAACTGTTAAAAAATATTTTCCTGTTATTCCTAAGGAGCTAACCAGAGCAGCCCTAGCTTCTTGGAGAAACTCAACTAAACTCTGAACCAACAGAAGCCTTTTTAAAAAAAATTAGTCTTCCATTATAATTATATTTATATGTCTTTTATAAAACAATACTTTGAAATTAACTTTATTCATATAAATAAGATTGGTTGTTAAGGTATGCGACCCGTCAGTAATTGGTATTAAATAAAGAATTATAAACACTTAAAAATCTTTTGTTGGGTGAGACCAATGCATCAATCAATTATTTATTCAAATTCAAAGCAAGGTGAAATAACTTGTGAGGTAACTAAGATGTCATTAACTTGCATATAGCCATTGATAAGCTCATAATTGAGTACTGGTATTTCATTACTTAAATAGTGTCATAGAAGATTTTAAGTATAAAGCTTTGACTTCCTATATAATTAGTGTATTTATAGTAACCGTTAAAAAAATATATATTCAAGTCATATTTAGTGTGTTGTTACCCAGAGTCTAAAATTATATGCACATTCTGTATTTTAAAAATATATTAACTCTAATTTAAACCTCATGTGTCTTTCATGTTGAGCCAAACTTAATATTTTTGTGTAATTCTGAGATTCAAATAAATGACTCAAAAATGTATATGAAAAAGATAAGATTCAATTGATGCAAATAAATGGAAATGTTTTTAAATCAAATTGTACATATTCATTTCAGCATATAAATAACTACATATTTTTAACCAAGACAACATATTCCAATTATATCAATTTAAACACAAGACATCTAAAGTATTTCTCTAGCGTAGAAATCAGCCAAACTCCAATAGTGGCAATGTCTTATTAAGTGATCATTTAGAAATTGGTAATTACAGGGGTAGCATGGCTGGTAAATTCGTACATAATGGGGAACAAGATAATTTTTTAATATCTTTCCGTCCCTAGAGAGAAAGAATAGTTTTTTGTTGTTTATTACACTGTTTATTTGTCAAAGGAAAACCAAGTAGAATTAAATCATTAATTTTCCTTTAAATGTTAGATTTCTCAGGCTCTCCAAAGAAATGCAGAAAAATGAAATAAGCCACTTTTAAGTGTGTAAAATATAATATATTTAGTTTAAAGATAGTATTGCTTTGGAAATCATTTGATGGTGTTTTTTGGTCTGAAGAGCTCTACTTGGAATTAACTTCTTGACAACTTACCAACATACAGCATTTTTTGTTGCATGTTAATTTGAACTTATAATTTAAAATTATACTGAGAAAAGTGGGAGTTGGCAAATGATCGGTTGGTACAGTGTTTCCAGCTTACCTAATACCACATTGGTTAAAAAAAGCTTTAGAAGAAAATATCAGTTACAAACATATCAAAATAAATAATGAATGGCCCCTTTGAATGCAGTCAATCATTGTTTTTAATTTAAAAGTAATTATATGCTTCCAATTTTAAACTGCAATTACTTTTTATATACACATTACAAACTTAAATACATTTTTGTACAAACATTTTTGTTGTTGTTCTACAAACATAAGGAAATGCAAATCAAATCAAGCTGCACATAGAATCAAGTGAGAACAGAGTACACTGCATTATAATTTTTAAATGTTTTTTAAAAAATATCTAAGGCTTTTAAATGCATTGTCTAATAAGAACAAGGCACAATTGAAATGATATATGATTATAATATATTATGATTATAATATATTAACATAAAAATAAAAATTAAGTGATAAAAAGAGAATGCATTATTATATTTACATCAATGGCACTTGTTTTGGTACGTAATTGCAGTTATGTAGTTCCCTTGAAGTTAAAGAGATCAGATTTATAATCATTCAATATATAATATATTGGTATGTTAAATAATAATTACTGAACTCTGCCAGCGAATGTGACCCTTTAAGTTCAATTTAAATTCAAGCTCAAAAGTTGGTGACCAGCTTAAGAAGGGAAACCATTTGTCCAAAAATAAGTTTTACAAAAGAATTCCACCAATTTAACTGTCATTCCTAGGAAATAATCTCAAATTTAAATTTAAAAATTTTTGGCATCAACAAATAATGAAACAATTCAGCAATAAAACTAGAAAGACATGAGCATAATAAGCTATTAAATATTTCACTATTTCCTTAAACAATTACCATTACTGTTTCCTTAAAGTTTCGGGTATTAAGAGCAAATGCTACCCCATCATGAATGATGATATATTAGCCCAACAGCAATCATTCTCTGCTTTTTTACCAAGAGCGAAGAGTTAAATTCTTCTAGGGCCATACCTATCTATGGTTAATAGCCGGACAGAATGGACTCAGCGGGAGCAATCCTTGTTTACCATGTAGATCTCTGTAAAATACCTCACTCATCTAAGTCAGAAGACAGCTGCAAACTCATCATTAGATTTAAATATGTCTGTCTATGCCAATAGCTAATATAACTTACAGAGTAGGGAAAAACCTGTAATATAAAAAAAGTAAACTGAGAATGTTTTGACAAAAATGAAAATTCCTCAACTGCAGACAAAGAGTTTATCTTTATGTCAACTCTGTCTGCTGTTGATGATTTTTGAGTCCAAATGTTCCTTGTTTATTTGTGTGATTTTCCAGGTTTTCCCCTTCTTTGTGTTTCATTTTGCTTCAACCTGACTGTGGTTCTCCCCATAGTACGCCTATGCCAATAGTTGTATTACTTCCAGCTAGAGTACCAGTATATCTACTGGAATAAATCCAGAATATAAAAAAAAATAAAAAATAAAGAACTGAGTGAGTGACAAATGCATCACAAATGTATTTAATAATAGCCTGCAACTGCAATAAAATTTAAATTCACTTCATGACAAAAACTTGATAGTAACAAATATAAAATAAAAAAATTAAATCTTTAACAGCTGTCATAACTTATCTCTAAATTGTGAAGATTTAACAGGATCATACAATCCGTTTGTCCAATTTGAACTTCCATCTTCAAGCCTCTCGATCATATCCACATGAAATGATAAATCACAGTCACAGTCTTTATCAAGTTTCTGGGGGAAAGAAAAAGATAATCAGAATTTTGTAACAAATTATGACACAAAACTCTTAGTTCAAAATGATAACACCAGGACAGTATGTATCACTAACTAGATAACTAGATAAAAGATATGTAGGAAATACTGGTACAACTGTAATTTTTTTTGTAACAGTAACAGATAAAGATAAATATTGCTTTTTGAAGAACTTAAACACATTTTGAAAAAAAAATCAAAATCTATGATAGATGTAGGGAAAATGAAGTGAATACATTTCCAATCATTTTTTAAAAAAAATAACTGGATGTCCTGCAAGAAATATGGTTACATTGTCTTATTTAAGTTTAAGACGGTCTTTCATATTTCAGTAGACTGCTCTTTTAAAAATATCAATTGCATATGCCTATTATTTGTTATGCTGACTGGTTTAAAAAATCTAATTTTAACATGTATGTAACTAGAAGCTTTCATTTCCTGATGTCGGTTGAAATTCTGCACTTAATAATCTAAAGTTACTGTATCATTATATTGTAGGACACATCAATTTCATCAAACTATTTTATTTCTTTATTATTTGGGTGGTGACTGATAAGTCTGTAGTGTGATGACTGATAATTAAAGTCTGTAAGTGTGATGACTGATAAGTCGCCTCAGTGTTCTTTTACGTGTTCAGAAGTTGTAAGCGCATTAACACTGAACAAAATGTCTTCTTCGAAAGAACAACATTAACTTTAATCCATGTTTTTCATATCATCTGGTCTAACAATAAGTGCAAATGTATAGCACAACTCTCTAAAGCAAAACAATACAAACTTCCTACTCAAGATTAGACAGTAACTGCCAATTCACAGACCTTACTTAACAAAAGTCTTGACACTACTTCACAGATAAACTAAAATATGTCACTTGCCTCATGGCAACAAGAAACTTTCATCAATGAAACTAACAATTAAGACGCACTGCACACAATACACAATGTGCAACAGTTACATGACATTTTCATCAACTATAGGAAATACTGATCAATAAATAAGTAGAATAACTTGAATAACTTGAAACATTCTATGAATATCAGAACTTATTAATTCAAAACATCTGCTTTCTCAACTTTGAGTTATAAAAGTGTAAGATCAACTCACAAATAAATTATATTTAAGGTCTAAATTCCTTGTTTTTAAGTGTATCAAACTCTTTAATTTCAATTTTCCCTAAATGAAATTTTAAAAAAAGAATTGCGCTAGTAAGAACAGGATGTAACCTTAAATTAAAATAACATCAGGTAAGATCAACTCACAAATAAATTATATTTAAGGTCTAAATTCCTTGTTTTTAAGTGTATCAAACTCTTTAATTTCAATTTTCCCTAAATGAAATTTTAAAAAAAGAATTGCGCTAGTAAGAACAGGATGTAACCTTAAATTAAAATAACATCAGGTAAGATCAACTCACAAATAAATTATATTTAAGGTCTAAATTCCTTGTTTTTAAGTGTATCAAACTCTTTAATTTCAATTTTCCCTAAATGAAATTTTAAAAAAAGAATTGCGCTAGTAAGAACAGGATGTAACCTTAAATTAAAATAACATCAGGTGGGCCATTCTCCTGGAAATTGAAAGCTTATTTTAAATTAAAAACATGAAGGAGCTCACCTGGAAGTGTTGCAGCATCTCAAACATTACAGAGCACAAATAGTCAATCTGTTCTGTGAACAAAGGGATACAACTCATTGAAGAATCATTCCCTTTGAAAAAGTAGGTAAGAGTTTTTTGTTCTTTGTTTATGGTCCACTTAATTGGGTCACACCAGGTAAATTTTAAGCATTGATTGCCTGAAAAGATGTGAAATTGCAAGTTAGAAATATATTATATAGAATCTCAGAAAAAATTATATTTGTCTTTCTGCTTATTTGCCTTGATTTCCATGTATTTTTTTAAGTAAAGCAGTATTCTTGATATCTGCCTCCGATCCCTCACCCTTACTAACTATACTTTCTAGATAGGAAAAATTATATACTTCTTGACCTTTCCCTTTTATCACTATAACTTAGAGTAACACCTATGCTTTTTGCATTTATGTTCATTACTTTTGTTTTGTTTTCATTTTTTAACATTTATTTATTATAAATACATATAAATATTTATTTATTTATAAATAGAAACACTTTTCTTACCAGATGAAAAATGAAGACCATAAATAGAAAGGATAACATCCACATAACTTGATGAAAGAAACTAGAAAAAAATAATTGTATTAGGTTATTAATGAACATAGACATAACTAATAGTACCGGTACTATAAAAAATGTTTAAAAAGCAAATGTTCATTACAATACATGATGGTAGTGATAGTGAATAATTTTTTTAAAGTAAAAAATAATAAATTTTTGTAGAAGTTACTGTCTTTTTAAAAGCAAGATATTGGGTAAATCAACAAAATATCTTACGGGAGAAGGTCTGAGCGGATCATTTCCAAAAATCTGACCTTTTGGAATAAGAATTTTATTATAATCTGGAAGATTGTGACACAATTTGAGATACTGACCATCAGCTGGGAAATCCGGGTCGAGGCAGTCTGAAATTAGGCATCAATTTACTACATCAAAAACCAATTCCTGAAGAATTTTTTAGATTAAACTGAAGGGAATCTTACTTTCAATAGATATTACTACCATCTTAGGGAATGGTGGTTACAAACGCCATGCCACTCATGTCTTTTCCTTCTGCCAATCACAACCATTTTCAAATGTTTCTACTTGTGATTACAAGAGTGTTATACTGCAATAAAGCATTCAACTAGATTAATGACACACAAACAAATAGTGTAAAGAAAACTATATAGGTTCAGCTAAACAAATGTAAATGTTTCGGCAAAGACTTTCATCAGTGCAAAAAACAAACAAACAAAACTTTATAAAAAAGAAGTATAAACTAAATTTACATAATATATCTATCAACCCAAAAGTGAAAGAAAAGTATAAGAGTGGGTGCAAGTCCCTGACTGAATAAAGTTCAGAAGAATAGAAAGGAACTGGGTGGATGTAAAATTTAAAAACCAAACAGGAAAAAGACATTGCAGCTACCGGTATGTAAAATTGTGAATTAGGTATATACCGTAAGGAGTCAACGTACCAAATCTTGTTATTAATTTATTTTCCATATAAATTTTATCTGGTGTATTATTTGCATACAGTATACCAGTAAATGCAATGTCTAATATTCCATTATGGTTAGTACTCTTAATTAAAATGTTTTGAAACTGGACAAAGGGTTGTTTATTGATGAAATGCAGGTGTTCATTAAAACAGTCTCCTGAGTGCCGACCTGTCTCTCCTACGTATCATTTACCCAACTTTATACAAAGGATGGTGTAAGTAAATCCACCTTTGATCATTTCAATAGAGCTAAAAAGCTGAACCTATATTGTTTTATTTACTGTACATAATTTGTTTGTGCCTCATTATTCTAATTGTGAATTTGCTAACCCCCAAGTAAATCTAAAAAGGATTTAAAATATCAGGCTTTCAACTAAATATAATTTAACTGCACGAATATTTTTTTAAAATTAATAAAGATTATATACAAATACATACCTATAAGTCTTTCAGATTCATCTTTGCTTGGTTTTAATTTACCTACCGGTACAAATAAAAAAGAGGGACCATTTTAAAAAGAATGATAAAAAAAGCTCTGCATGAGCATATTTAAAGACACTACTGGTAGTAATAAAATACAAAACTATCACAACTATAATTTGATTTTAATTCATTTCGTGCAAATATCTGGAACTGTATGAAAATTCCTAAGCTGTTTGAACTCTTACAACAAAAGATTTTATGCTAGATGATCACAGTGGTGTAGCTAGGGTCGGTGTCACCCGGTGCGGTAAACTCTTGGTGTCAACACCCCCCCCCCATCCCCACTCCAACTTCAAAGATGGATTTGTTATAGTTGAAAAAAGTCCAAAGTATAACAATGACAAGAACAAAAAACAAATTAATTAAAGGTCAGACGATAAATGTATTTAAGAACTGTATTTAAGAATTTATAGGAGCCAGAAAGATCAATAGATTCATCGAAGGCCCTCAAAATATCAAAATATAGAAGAAGAAGTAAAAACTTAAGTTATAGTTATTTTAACATTAATTTTACTTTGGAATTCGGTATCAGCTGCCTTTAGTGTCTTCTAAGCCTAGTATTTCTTTTAAAAGTTCATTTTCTGATAACTTATCATAGAAAGAGGTTAATTTTGGAACGAACACCAATAACTCTACTTCACTTGTTGATAGTGGACTTTTTGAGTTGAACAGCCCCAAACATATCTGCTAATTCCTTGATCACTGATCTGGATTTCAGAATGAAAGCGAGCAATGCACACACGCACCTCTCTTCTCTTTACTTCTCGCAGAGAGAGTGCTAGCATCTATTAATTGTTCTCCTTTCGTTCTCTTCTTCTTAAACCTTTTTGTTCTCTCTAACGAAATTTCATATTGGTCTGATTTTAAAAGTACCGGTACATTTTCAATAGCATGTTACACAAAGTGAAAGCGATTCTCGTGCAGAAACAATCTTAAGGCCTCTAGGTTAGTCATCATCTTGTCAAGAGTAAAGCCTTCAGTCTGCAGATACTTCTGTGTAAGATTAACATCTTCAAGTAGATCTTCCCTAAGGTAAAGATAGAAGATAAACTTGAAATCACAGACAACATGTAAAAGACATTATGCTGTATTACAATCGTGCTCCAATGTTAAGATGTGGTGTTAGTGACGAATCGGCAAAAATATTTATTTTATAGTATTTCTAGGTTTCGATAGATTTGGTTTCAAAAACATATTTTTTAAAGTTTTAGAAAATTTTAATTTATTATTAAAAAGTATTAGAAAATTTTGTAAAATATTATTTTGTTTACCCTAAAAAAAGGTAAAACTCATTTTTAATGTTATTAATGTTTACCGATTCGATTCATTAACTTAGAATCGTCCGACCACATCATATTTCGTTTCAATGGAAAGCTTTATTTCTCAGAATTTAGATAAATATTGCTTCGTGTCATTTATGAAAGTTACCGAACACTTCAATCGGCGTTGAATTATGGTCAAAAAGGTGTTTCTGACGCATCATTGGGATTAGTTACACGTGTGGAAAATTTACGTGTGATGGGTTATCCTTTTATGAAATTCCGTTAGACCGAGCGGTTTGTGCTCTGCAAATATGCCATTTTTCCATTTGGTGTCACCCCCTGCGATGGTGTCACCCATTGTGGTCCGCACCCCCCACCTCTAGCTACGTCACTAATTAAAACTATAAATCGGTAAAAAGTCATTTTTAAACGGCGTTTTTTTCTGACCTAATTATAGGGTCACCTCATTTCTGACGCATCAATATATAACTTTTAATAAAGCACGCATTAAGATTGGTTACAAGTGTGGAAAATTTCTGTGTGATCGGTTATCCTTTTATGAAAATCAGTTGGACCGAGCAGTGTGAGTGGGTGACACTCGGTGCGGTCCACACCCCCCTAGCTACGCCACTGGATGATCAATTAATAAGCAGAAAATTACCTTTTTTTTCTCCACAGAATCTATGCATATAATTTAATATACCTGGTAATATAAATGCTGAGGACAGAGCCTTAAATTTGTGTCCCTTGCCAAGCAGAAACATGTTTGGAATTCAAATACAATCCAGATATCAAATATTATTTGTATACACACACAAAAATACTATCAGTACCGGCAATAGAAAATAAAAATACTTAACAATGTTATATTGATTTTTCCTTCTTTTGGTAATAGTTTTGGGTGATTTGCAAACAGGGTTTTCCCTCAATAAAGGAACTTTGTATGTATGTTATTCCACTGTAAAGTATACCTGTTGAAATATCATGCTGTGCCTGTGAGAAAATTAAGTGTGTGGCTGCAGGATCTCTAAGTATTAAATCACGCTCTTCTTTCAGATCAAAGCACCATTTTTGAAAAGACAGATCTGAAAATAATTAAACGGAAAAGAAAATACTTGTTAAAATCTTATTTATTCTTAATGAAATTAATTATGATCAGACCTCAGCAACACCCAGGCAAGCAAAACAACACCAGTGAATGTTCTCTTTAAACTTGGATGGTGGCTCATCTAAAAGAATGAAAGCTTTGATTGCAAACCTGCACCGCCAGATGGCTAAAATCATGGTTTAAAGGCTAATGAAAACAACAATAACAAAATAAATGATATTAACTCATTGAAAATTCTGTCAACTCCTGTGAGATCCCTGATGCCAAGCTGTTTCAGCCATTTGATGTTATCATGAGGGTATCTGCTGAATGGGAATCAGCCTCTTCTCAATAAAAGTATCTTGCCCCGGCCGCATGATTTTGCACTTCCAGCAAAAATAACACAATCATCTTCTTGATATCAAAGGATGCCAAAAAATATATATTTTAATTTTAGATTTTATACAAAATTTAATGCACATAATCATATGAATTATAAACCTTTTTGGTAGTTTTACCTTGCAAACCAAGAGCAATGACATCTCCAGTTTTGAACCTCTTTATTGGCCATTCATGACCTTGACAAATTGTAAAATATTTTAAGCTCTCTTTCTTTAAACCTGAAATAATTGTTTAAAAAAAAGATCATCAAAATCGAATCAGTTTCACTTTCAGTGGCATCAAACTAAATAAATATTATGTTTTCATTATAAAAATAAATGTGAAAATAATTAGGCTTAATATGGTACCGGTACAGTAGATGTAAATTCTCAAATAATGATGGAAAACTTGTGTTATTAAAAATTTTTAAGGATTACAATCCTCCTACCTAATTCAACACCTGTCTTCTTTAATAAATCCTCATATAATACTCCATTATAAATAACCACAGAAATCTGGGGAAACAAAAGATAAATTACATTTTAATATTTAGATTTAATATTTTTAGTTTGAGTCCTTCTTCTATTAGTTCTAACATTAACATATATATTCTGGAAGGGGCATGTTCATTCCCTCTTTAAAGAACCAAATTTTTCTTTTTTAAATTGGCAATCTGGTCTACAACATTCTAATAATTCTATCGACTAATCTGCCTCTAGGAACAGTTATTATTAGGCTACAGCTATTGGTAAGCTAAAATTCTTTCAGGATTCATTTTTGAGCTGAGGTGTAGTCACTAGTAGACTAGTACAATGGTCACTAGTAGACTTGTACAAACTAGTAATAAATGAGCGCGGAAATTCTTCGCCATCATGATTGAAAGCGGGTTTTAAAGTTTCAATTGTGGTTTGATTGGCTGGACTACCAAAAGCTCTCTAGACTCTAGATCAGCAGTTCTCAACCTGTGGGTCGTGACCCCAGCGGGTGTCGAACGACCCTATCACAGGGGTCGCATTAGACCAACGGAAAACACATATTCTCTAAAGTTATGAACATGCAACGAAAATAATTTTGTGGTTGGGGGTCGCCACAACATGAGGAACTGTATTAAAGGGTCGGGGCATTAAGAAGATTGAGAATCACTGCTCTAGATGCTAGCAATAGACACTTTCTTTATTATCATGTCTTCTTATTGGTTTGGGTACAAGCCCATGCCTTGCATTTCTTTTAATTTCAAAATATGCTCACTATTACTTTAAAATTTGCCAAAGTATCAATTGCATAATGGCATATTGTCAATAAATTATTTACATTTCTGATCACACTTTTTCTAGCTAACTTATATATGTAAGCAGACATCATTTTTATACAAACACACATTTTAAATCATGCCCAAAAGGTGTGTAACTAGTTCCCAACTCCCCAGAATGACGCTCTTCAGAATTTATTTGTGTGATGTTAAAAAAATGAAATGAAATAGACTTGGGGGTGATAATTTATAAAACTGTGCTCATTTTTTAATTTAATAATTATACATTTTAAAAAGAATAATCTTAGTTATTCTTAATGACCCCTTGCTGAGCAAGTCAAATATATTGAAAGTGTCTATTACTACCAATAGCCTCTAGTTAGGGCAGGGAGCTATTTGTTGTTAACTACCAATAGGTTCTAGAGCCATTAGTCCAGCCAATCAATTCAAACCAAAATCAGAGCTTTAAAAACCCACTATCAATACCGCTGGCAAAGTATTACCCCATTCCAGGGCTACCACACCTTGGGAAATTTCCCAAGATCTTGGGAATTCACGACCCCCCTTGGGATCTGGGGAATAATTTTGAAAATCTGGCAAAACCTTGGGAAATCTTAACTGTGGGGGAAGATTTTATTAAATTTTTCAAAAAACGCAAACAATATACCTGATAAAAAAAATGAAGTAAAAATAAAGCAAACTAATTTTTTAAGTAACAAGGCAAAAAATAATTTTTTAAAATTTTCCTTTCTGGTTTTAATTTTTAAAACCATATCTAAATAAATAAGAACTCTTCTGAAATTAAAGTTAATATTGTAAATTAATAACAAGTTAATAATTAAAGAAAAAATTAATTTTCTCTTTTTTTTAAGTTGAAGATTTGCAAATTACATCCAGGTTTTAAATGTTTATTAAACGGGGAGGGGGGGGCGGTAGGCTCGGAAACTTTATCATGCGTATAAGACATTAGCAACCATACAAAAAACAGTACAAACCAAAGAATGAATGACAGTGTTCTATGAAGAACCCATAGTAAAATTGGATTATTCAATTACTTATCAATGTGTTCAAAATATTATGCATCTTTAAAAAATCTAGCCTAATTTTCATCTATTGGAAAAAAATATTTGTGGATTGACACACAGGTAACTAAGATATTAAAATTATACATTGTAGGAAATAAATGAAAAATTCCTTTAAACAGTATTTCGTTTGAAAAAAAAAATCATTATAATGTAAATTTAAAATAAAACATAAAAATACTTATTGCTTTCATAATACTGTCAATCCATTTTAGCTACAATTGTTATTAACACCTTTTGCTTAATAGCTTTGCAAACCCCATTACTAATCAACAGACTTGCAATAAGAAAACACATTTTATTTTTGTATGAAGAGCCTTTTGCCTTTGTTAAAGGAATTGTGTGTTGTTTAGCCTTGTGAGCTATGTTTCCAAGTGACTTCTATTACACGTGGATTGTAGATGTTATTTTTACCAGAGAATTTGGAGGTAACATTTAGTAGCCTAACTCCAGTGGGTATTGATATTTTGGATAATAAAATAATGTAAATAATTTTTTTAAAACAAAAAATGTTTATTTCTTTTATGGGATAAAAATTTTTTTAAAATGTCTTTTTCAATAAATTTCAGTCAATTATTGTACCATATGTTTCAATCTATTATTACATAAAGGACACAGGAACCCTCCCCCCCCCCCTCCCCCACCTTTAAAAAAAACTCCTATATCCTTTATGATCTTGGGAAATCTTGGGAAATTTCATGACCGAATCTTGGGAAATTTAAAAAAAGTGAGTGGCAGCCCTGCCCCATTCATTTATTACTAGTTCGTACTAGTGATAACACCTCAGAACTAATTATAAAATCTACAGTACTGTTTTAACACTGTCTGCTGTAGCCTTCCTCATGCTCAGATTTGGCACTATTATAATTACCATGCCATAATTTAATAAGAAGTTATACTGCATACAATTACAAAGTGTGCATGTATGCATATTAAAAACAAATCTAAATCTTGTTACTAAAGTTAAATGAAACTATATACCAATGTGATTAGGCTTAAAGATGATAACATAAGCCATGATAAGCTCAGGCCAATCTTTGTTTAGGAACATGGTCACTTGAACAACCCCCCCCCCCTTTTTAAATAAACAAATTTTTGAACATTTTTTTTTTTTTTTTAGAGACATTGTCACTTTAACAACCCCCCCCCCCCCTTTTTAAATAAACAAATTTTGGCTCATTTTTTTTTTTTTTGGTCATAGATGTCTAAGATTTTAATACGAATTCAATAGCCACAGCCAATATATTACCTTAATCTTAGGTAATGCAGGATCATAGGATCTAATAATCACATGGGTAATATTTTGCAACTCCATAATGCGTAAAATATAATTAGTTTCATGTGTAAATATATATAGGTCTATCGACTACCGGTATCTATACTATAAATATAATCCTTCAATTTTCGGTTGGATTTAAATTAGAGGAAGTGTTTCGAAGAAATACTCGCAGGAAGATATTGTATATGTACTCATGTACTTGATCCAGGAATAAAGTTTGATAAATTTTAACAGTACAGATATCGGTTTGATATTATTTAATCTATATCGATACCAACTTGTTTACATTTTACTTTGAGGGGATTATTATTTTACTTATATATTGAATATACAAGTTTAATTAAAATTGACTCTTATTTCATCCCTATTTCTTGAAGAAATTTTGTTAAAATGTATGAAATTAAAAAACTAGTTAAATAAGGAAATATCGGTGCTACTAATTGAACTAAGAAATTCTAGTATTTCTGAAACAGGCTTAAAATTATCCCTCCTTTTAAAATGTAGATTTGTTAAAATAACGAATTAAATAGAAATTAAATGTCATTCTTCTTTCGAAATGCGTATTGACACTACTCTTGAACAATATTTGTTCAGCTATGTGCAGACTGTACTTAAGTCGGTGACAGTACTCAGTCAATAGTGTCAAATGTGAGGGTGAGACTGTTGACTGTTGTCAGTCTGTAAACTGTAGTCTATCGTTAGGCCTCCTTACTAGGCCTCAGGCCTATTATTATTATTATTATTATTATTCAAATTGGCATATTAAAATTATAAAATAATAATATTATTATGACTTGACTTATACTTATTATTTATTGTAGAGAACTTATAATTATAATTATAACTTACTTATAGTTATATAGTCTAGACTTAATAGTAAAATCGTATGATGGTTAATGAATGGTAACTTAATTTAACTTATTTTCTGTAAACCCAGTACCGGTAACTGAAACTGTTTTAGTGTTTTAGGTTTTGCTGATGATGGAATCCGACCTATGACTATGCATAGACACTATAGTCTATAATGTGACTATAGTACTATAGTCTATAGTGCCTATAGTCTGTTATAGGCATAGTATAGGCCTTCCCCCATGCCCATAGTCATAGTAATAGTAGTATAGTATAGTGCCCGGGTTATTCAACTTAATATTGACAATAATAATAATAATATTGTGTGTGGTCTTCGAGTGTGAGTGAGATTAGTGAGAAGAAGTGAGATTCAGAATAGAAACATAAAATTCACTTTCATCAATCGTCTCAATCAGATTTCAGTACTAACTTAGTCATTATAAGTATTAAGTCACTTGTCTAAGTCTAAATGAACTAAATCACTAAAATAAGTCTAGTAAAGAATAATTTATAATAGGTACTTTGACACAAAATTTAAATATTGTCCAATTGCCATGAATGATACATCATTTTAAAGGGCTAGCTATAAGCTTTACAACAACACCAATTTCATCTTTCTATCTTTTGTAGAAGTGGAGTTATGATTTTTTTAGTGATTTTTTAAAACCCTCTTCTTTATCTTTGTATTTAACTGTGAAAATGTGTGACCCACTTTCCAAATTTCTGCCTTATTTTGCCCAAAACTTTTTTATTTTAAAAGATAATGCTACCAAATTTTCAGGAGACATTCTTAATGCAACATACAACACAATGAACAAAAAAACTTTTAAATAACATCAGTACTTTCTATTTTAAATTGTTTTATTTAAGGGTATGTTAAGAAAAATGTGAACAGAAAAAATGGAAAAATCAATACCGATACTAACAAAGAAAAAAAAATAACTTGTTTATTGGATTTGAACTAATTATATGCTTGTGTTAAATTTTAAATAAATTCTTATAATTATAAAAAGGTAAGTAGTTTTTTTTCTCTCTGCATGTAATGTAATTATTAATTATAAATTAAAATTACTCAAAACCATTTTTTTATCTACATTCAAACGTGCCTCCTTGTTCTTTGATGGAAGGAATTCCACCAAGTTCTGCAATAGAAAATTTTCTCTTTTATCTGAAAAAAGCCTAGAAAAACATCTTAATAATTTCAATCATAATCCTGAGTATACACAATTTATTTTTAATATAAATTATTATTCACATTAAGACATGGTTGATTAAAACTTGTTTCGTTTTTATTTTAACTCTAATTCTATGTCTTGTCATTACCAGTACTTAACAATATTTTAAATTGTATGATTAAATACCTTATTTAATTTAAAAATACTATTTAAATGTAGGTTTTAATTGCATTTGTTGTAATAGAAATGTATTAGTTCATTGTAGTATTAATAATAAGTTTAACTACTAATACTAATACCGGTGCCGGTAGTTCTCGGATTTTTATTATTTTTTTAAAAAACCTATTTCCCATCAATTTACTATTCATAATTTCAATTTATTTGTATCATCTTATCAATTTCTATGATTTTTAATACTAACTTTTACTAATTTGCTTAGATTTATTCAGATGTTTAAAGATTACAAAAATATTAAACTATTATTGAATATTATTTAGAGCCGCTAACATCGCCCCGGTGAAGACAAAAAAAGTCGGCCATTTTTTTTTCTTTCCGGTGATGGGGTGTTGATTTTACATGTTGAGAGCGATAACATTCTTTGGAACGGGTTAAATTGACTATTTTAAAGTTATTAGTAATCCAAATTAGATGATAAACATGAGCTTTTGGGTTTTAATCATGTATGAATGCTCCAAAGAAGTTTTTAAGACACTTTCAACTTACCGATAGTGAAAAAGTGACACAGAAAAAAAACGGGGGTTCCCCTCGTTGGGTAAATTGTATGAGCGTCACCGTAAGACAAATATTTAATGTAATCGATAACAAAACAAATGTATAATTAGAAAACTGTGACGTAGAACGCAAAAATCCGAGTACACCACAGAGCCGATTAGGAAATGGCCACAAAAGTTTTTCCGTGATTTTTCGACTGCGCAGAAGGGATGCGCGTGCGTCTTTCAAAATACCTATTTATAATATTAATATTCTAATAATTTACAGTAAACTTTATTATTATTGATAAGTCAAGTTAATAGTGTGAAAGTGTATGTTTAGTATCGTAAATGAAAAGAAGGTATTATTGTTAAATTCATTATTTTTTAAATATGATCTTTGACTGAACTTGAACAATTTATTATTCGATCATTGTATTGGATAGTATATTTAAATATTATAATCATAAATTAATTTTTTTTTCCCAGATTTCAAATTCATTTCACCTTCGATTAATAAAAGGAGCACAGAAAATTATAGGAATGTCTAATGAAATTAGTCATTTGTTCACCTTTAATTCTGGAACTAGACAGCAAAATACTGAAAGAGTTGGTATTTTTTTAAAATAATAGAATTAATTAAAATTATTAAAATGAAAATAGTTAGATTTAGGATAATAGTATTTTGTCTAATGTAAATTCAAGATTTAAATTAAATTAATATTGTGAACTATTCTGTTTGTAGCTGACAGCGCACAAGCTGTCAATAATGGCTTTGGTGTATGAATACCAGCAACTGATAGGGCTGCAAGACAAGATTGACGAAAGCACAGAACAAAACCAGTTTCTTACAGACAGAGAAAAAAGAGTCTTTATGGTTCTTTTGCTCAATCTTCTTCAGGTTAGTTATTAAATGTCATATACATTTTATTTTTACAAAATAGCTGTATTGCTGAATTTCCAGGAGCTAAGAACTAATAGTGCATCAACTTTTTAGATATCTTCTGTAAATTAAAAATAAAGTGTTCGGACTTCCACTGAAATGCAGATGAATCGGTACTGCACAAAATTTGTTTTGACTAATGTGTTTCTGTGCTTAAAAAAGAAAATTAATCACTTTTTGGTGTTATTGTTCATAACATTAATAGTTGATTTTCAATGGATCTTACTAATGTTTCTCCATTATGCCTAATTTAGAGCCCTGATATGGACTTGAAAACATTGAGACAACACATTGATCATGCTTTGAAACCAGCAATCTTGGAAGCTGTTTATGAACTGTGAGATCTTCTATAAATCTGTAATAGAGGCAAAGTGTGCACATGTTAAATGCTTTTATCACTTTATTTAATAACATTTTTAACATGTGGAGTAGCTGAAATTCTGAATATCAATACTAAAATTAAACAGCCATTGTTAGGATTATATAAATCATTTTCAAGATCCTTTCAACTAATTAAATTTGCAGCTATGTACAATTTAACAACTTATAATTGAATTATTACTAATTTCTTACAGGCTTCGCACAATTTCACATTCAGGAGTAAAACCAATCAATGATTTCTTTGACAATATTTCTACATTGTTGTCAACTAATGAGAAAGAAGGTGTTATACGCAGAGAGAGCATTATGGGTAATTTATTTTATTTAATCAGTTATTTCAACTGATGAGATCTTCATCTTTTCATCATCCTCATGTTTAATTAATTTCTGAAATTGTAAAGCTATTCGAATGATTGATAAGTGGAGCTACTTGAATGATTGATAAGTAAAACTACTCGAATGATTGATGAGTTAAGCTACTTGAAGAATTGATAAGTAAAGTTACTCAAATGTTTGATAAGATGCACACACACAAATAATTGTAAGTATAATAATCATTTTCAAATTATACTAAAATATATTAAAAAATTGTTAATAAATCTTTCAAACACTTAAGTTCTAGGTTATTACAGATTTTTTTATTCTGTTTTGAAATATTTCTTAAGGCTTATACATTAGAAGGATGGAGCTGGCTTATAATGAGATGTCATTCAGTCAAGTTGTTGATATGTATGTAAGTATGTCAAAAAGAAACAAAAATCGGCACCAGGTTACACCAGACAAATTGCCTAAAATAAGGCATGTGAAATGCCTCTATAGAAAATGTGCGATCCACATTAAATCATGATAGAATGGGTGTGCAACAGTCCCAATGCAATAATCATATTAATTTTTAGTTTGGGGGAGGATGGGGTGTTGTTTTCTGACATTTCAAGACTCTAAAGATTTGTTCAAACATAAAAATTCAACATTTTAATTTATTTTTGACTTTTAGATATAAAATTACAATTACATTCTTGTAAAAAAAAAATAATAATAATTCTATGACATTAATGATAAATTGATTTAATGAATTATTTTTTTCCCTCTTGCTCTCAAGAATAAAGTGCGGAGATATTATGAACTAGGTTTTCCAGAGAGTAAAGAGGAGGTTGATAAGCACTGTTGGAGAAAATCTGGCACATTTGGCGTTTCAGACTCAGCTCTTAGTATGTCACTGCTTGAAGATCAGTCAGTTTTGGAACCTCCTAGCAGCCAGTAAGTTAATGCTTTTAAGTCCATCTAATGTAACTATCTAATGTAACCATCTAATGTAACCATCTAATCCTTGAAGTTAAAATAGGGAGGGGTGGTAAATGTGTTAAATCGAAATATTAAACAAGGTAAAAATAAAAGATAAAAAACTATATGAAATTTTTAACTGAATTTCCACAATCCACTAAAAGTTTTTTAAACGAGGGTGAGATACATTTATACACCTTCAAATATTTTTTTTAAAAATTTTTTCATAAAATATTACTCTTTGAAAATAGGAAAGATTTATAATCATCTTTGGCCTTGTTGTACCAATTAAAGATAAACAAGTATGCAAAGTCATACAGGGCTCTGTTTCTTTTTTTCCTCCATTTTTTTTACAGAAACTTCTTTTCCAAGAAACAAGCTGAATATTTTATTGCCAACCAAGCACTACTGTTGAGTCATGACGAGGGGAAAGCACTCCCACCAGACCAGCTACAACAGAGGATTTCCAGTATCCTGTCAGCTAATCCAGACCTGGCAGAAGCAGTAAGAAAATCTAATTCTTTGTTAAAATTTGAAGTACTCATTTATCATTTTTAATATTCACTTCAGGGGAAAAATAAGAAAACTACAATATTTTTTATTGTTAAAAATGGAAAGAGTTTATTTCATTTAGAAAATAAAATGAAAGGAAAATTGTTTAACATGTTATGCTTAAATAACAAAATACCTAGTGTCTAACCTGCGCACAAATAACAAAATACGTAGTGTCTAACTACATTAGAGTTTAATGGTAAGGCAGATGTTTTTAATGTAATTAAGATTATAATTATTCACTATTTTTACTTCCTCAGCATTTCCTTAGTTACATTAACAGCTTGAGGGTCAAAGAATATTGCACAGCTTTACATAACTTGTATCACTACTTTGATAGAAAGGCATGCGCTCCAACAGAAACGAACCCACCCAAAAAGAAGGGCGCTGCAGAAGAAGTTGCCATGCGATATGCAGCCCTTAACCTTGCATCGCTCCAGTTCCGATTTGGGAATAAGTGAGAAATTCTGTTTGAAATGTGTTTATTAGGTTTGCGCAATTTTGCCTGAATGGCTTAAAGAATAATCTTATTTCTTTTCATAAAGTACTCTGACATAAATAAGGAATTATTGAGGTCAAAATATGAAAAAGCTTGAAGTATTGAACAAAACAACACAACTGACTATCGGACTGAAAGACTTCTTCAGCAAACAGAAAGAGTAAAATAAACTTATCTTAATTTAAGTTGGACTCAAAATTAAGAGGTAAACAGGAGTCAACAACATTAAGGAAAGAAGAATTTTAAATACAAAATAAGGAGAGCATTAAGCAATAAGGAAAAGCTTAAAACATTTATTTATGTGTTTTTTTTGTGATTTTTTTTTTTAATAATTACTATCAATTTATCTGATAAGGTAGCAAAAAAATGGAGAATTTAACATTTTTATAACATTTTTCTTTCCAGAGAAGAGTGTAGGGCTGCACTACAAGAAGCAATCAGAATGGCACAAGAAAGCAATGACCAGATATGTTTACAGCATGCTCTTGTAAGAATTGTTTGACAGGGAAGGTCTTCAAAAATGATAGTGACTATTGTATCTCATCAGAGATCTCAAATTAATTATTTGTTGTGTCAAGCAAAAAATTTATCAGATTTTGTATATCATTATATAACTCTATAAGTAGCTATAAAAGAATACGGTTTTAAAATTTAAAAGCATTGATTAAATTAATATATTTAATGTCTTAATTAAAAAATGAAATCATCAGAAACAAATAATATTTGTTATCATATGTTTTTATGAATGCCATTTATTGAACATGGCTTTATTTCATGATTGATCCCTGAAGTTTATTAACACATGCTTATCCCACAACTGTGCTGCTTATTTTGACAGGTGTGGCTAAATCTTTTGGGAGAAACCCACAGTGGTGTGACTCAGCTGGAGCGATCCATTAAGAAAACCATTGACCTTTCATTGCCTGTAAGTTAAAAAAAAACTGGATCTAATTTTCCAAGTCACTTTGATCCCAAAAAAGCTGACATAGGGGATTAACACAATTTACTAACAAACAAACAAAAATAATGACCCAAGGCCTTTATCATTATTTGAGTGTAATCACAACACTGTCATATCACTGGTTTGGGAATTAAATTTATTTTTATTTTATTGTAGAAGGCTTCTCAATTATTCATTCTTTCATGTTAATGAAGATGTGAATTTCATAATTGAAATCTCTCACTACTCAGTATCCATAATATTAGTAATAACTATACATGTTGTCAATACTGTTCTTCTAACTGATTCTTTATTAATAAATACCGATTGCAGAAATTTTAAGTTCTAAATATTTGGAACAGCCTTCAGCGAACAACTGCCAGTACAGGAAAAAGTTTAGCATATGGTTCATGTAAATGTAATGATCATTTCTTTATATCTATCTTATAAAATAGAATCTGACAGTTCTGGGATTAAATTGGATCAGTAAAGGCCTTGGTACAAGAGCTGAGCTACCTGCAAGGTAATATATATACAATTTTAATAAATGAAATTATAATGGCCACATGATACATTTGCAAATAATAGTTTCATATTTCCAAGCCATCATATTTATTTTAGCCAGCAAAATTGGTCAGGTTCCAGTTTCTGCTACATTATTTATTAAAAAGTCACTAACTCACTTACTCAGGGAATTTATAGAGCTGGAAGAAGTTTATGAATCTATGCAAGATTGTTACGCCCCTTTGTTGTTCAATGAATTTGAACAAGCTCGTGATCTAGGGGAATTTGCAAAGGGGAGCTAACACAGGTAGATTTTAGACACACTGCTGGCTAAAATGAAGACAATCGGTGCTCTATATAAATGTAATTTGTTACATGGAATATAATATGAACAAAGATACATAAAATCTACATATAAAGAAATAAATATATGTCTAAAACTAAAAATATCTAGTTCACCCCTCACGGGTTAAATCACCCGCCTTATATAGCACACAATAACAGGGAACCCACGTCACGAGCTGATTATGGGTCAACCACGGGGCAGGTATGGTCATTCACGTGTGTAAATAACCAAACATAAAATTTAAGGCCCAGTACACAGCTGTGTGTTACTTTAAATGATCACGAATGTGTACGTGCTTGGGGTTACCCACAGCAGTCACACTATGAGAGTGTATTCTCTTATCCTATTGGGGGCATACTGCCGCATATAAAATGTTACATAAATGCAGTTACAAATAGTGGCACATTACCACATCCACCCCAACTTTTAAAATCCCAGCGGCCTCGCTGGATCTACTACAAAACAGTAGCACAGCCATCCCCCCAAAAATAAGGGAGCATATATAACTGTTTAACCTGGAAAAACATACATCAGAAACAACACAGAAATTCTGGTATTTAAACATAGGAAACTTGGCATACACAATGTCCCCAAATTTGCGGGAACAAATGGTTCTTAGAATTTAAAACTACTATCCATTCTATATTTGTATCTTACTGTTACACTTTATTTATTTAGGCATTTTTATATAGCGCTTACCTTAAAGCTCTAAGTGCTTTACAATTATTAAAAACATGTAAACTAACTAAAATAAAAATGAGACATTAGGATAGTAACTACTTTCAAAGCATATGTCTCACTTATATGTGTTCTTTATTGATATGTCATGGGTAATAGTAATATCTTAACTAGAGCGTCTATAGAGATATGTACATAAAAGTTATGGACATGTAAAAATGAGATAATGAAATGACAATGAATTAGTACTAGATGTCATCTTTCTCAAACTGTTTTAGTTTCCCTACACAAGTAAATTTTCTACTAGAGTCATGACATTATGTGACAATAAAACAAAAGCATCATCATTGATAACATTTTGTCATCACTGTCATGTTTTACCACATAGTTATCCACCTTAACTGCTTGAAACCCAGCGGCCTCGCTGGTTCAACTACAACCGTAGTAAAATTTGCAATACAAAAATACAAAAAAATCAGAGAACGATGGAATATATTTACAAAAATAAATAAAAACATTTAGCATAAACAACTAGTTTCCTTTTGTAACACTGCCTCATGTCTGTTTCTCTCGATTTGCGAGATGACTCCAAAACTGTAGCCGTGGCTTATTACAGTTTAAATACACAAATAATGAAATGCAGTTAATTTTTATATTACGTAACCTTGGACATAAAAGAGACTCCGTATTTATTGCTCATGCCTTGGTCACACCTAGTTTCAAAAGGTCATTCTTAAGCAGAGGAGACCATCCAACTGAACTTCATTTGAAGCAGAAGTTTTTTTCTTTATGAAATTTTTAAAGATTCTTTGTGTTAACTCAGTTCACGTTAGCTAATAGATGGATGACCTATTGCTGTTGTTTATTTATTTATTTAGGCATTTTTATATAGTGCTTACCTTAAAGCTCTAAGCGCTTTACAATTATTAAAAACATGTAAACTAAGTATCTGTTAATCTGTAATTTTAAAAAAAGTGTTAATGAAATAATATATTGTTATTTCTATAGGGTGATAGACTACTTCACACAGAGTACCCTAATCAACTGTATGCACTCAAATTATGGCATGATGTCGTCAGGATGTATTCAAAGATCAGCCATGTGGCATTATTATGGCAAGCGGTATGTCAGCTCCCATTATATCAATATTTTAAAAATGATGTTGATCACAAACTTGGGCTTGGATGGTATTTATCTTATAGTAATTAGTAGAGGGTGGGACTACATTCAGGCTTAAAAGTTAATAGACACAAACTATTGGTCCTTATTTTTAGCATATTATTACTGAATCCCTTAGACCAGGCCTGCACAACTTACAATGTAAGGTGGGCCACAATACTTTATGAAAAAAATGATAATAGGACAGGGGTGAAAGCTATTTAGAAAAATAATAATTAAGAATATTTCGTTACTTCGCTGGCCGCCAAGTTGGTGCTGGCGGGCCCCATGTGACCCACGTGCCGTATGTTGTGCAGGCCTGCCTTAGACTGTGAGTAACCAATATGCAAAATGAAATTTCATCTATGTCAGTTTTTTCTCAACTATTTTACAATTTTGTGAAATCTCATTTCTTTCAAATGATCAAATAATTTTTAAAAAGTTAATCTGAAAGACTTGATGGAAATTTCAATAGCTTTCTGGTTAAATGCAAAGCATTAGTGAGCAAGGCTACAGAAAAACAAAACATGTATTGAATCAGATAACTAGATGTTTCTTTCTCTATCAGCCTTAAGTTTCTGTTTTGTGTTGTTATTCAAGCTATTACACATGCTGTTCTTAATATTTCACTCACAGGACTTCAACGCAGTCACTACTATATTATGTTTTGAATCAGAATGACTAGATCATTAGTTAATCAGGGTCAAGAAAATTTACACCCCTCAGTTATAATTTTCCTGTATGTGGCTGTATGTGGACTGAATGATTTTCACATTTTTGTGCACAGAGAACTGTGTTCCTTAGATAGCCAGATTGTTCTCAATCTAAACACCAGTGTTAATGGAGTCTACTTCAATGGGGAGGCAGTTTGCATAGCCCTGTGCAACCTGGCACAACAGTATGCTGACACGGTGAGTAGGCTAATACTAGAAGATGAGTTGACAAAACTGTCTTGCATTTACTTACACAATAGTTGTGAAAGTTTTACTTAAGACAGGATATCTCTCCTCCTCCCCCCATCTTTTTTTAATTAAAAAAATAATAATAAAATTTCATCATTTTTTTTATTTGCTATTGAGGATTGAATTCTATAAAATATGCTGTAAGGTTCTTGAAAAACATGATGTCAATGAATGGAATAAGTTGACATGATTTGTTGCAAAGCATAAAAAATAGATGTGCATAACTCCAGATAGCAGTTTAGGATCCTTTGTATTTAATATATCAATTTTTATAAGGCAGTATATTTTTGTTGCACTTCTGTCCCACAACCAGCAACAAATGCATGAAAAGACAAAAGACGTGGCCATCATCTCAGCACAGCTCAGACTCAATATAGATAAAAGCAAGACAAAGATCATGGATGTTAACTCAGCCAACCAAGAGCATATCTCTCTGGCAGGAAAGGCACTGGAAGAAGTGGAGTCCATCACATACTTAGGCAGCACCATCGACATAAATGGTGGATCCGTCGCGGATGTAAGGGCTAAAACTGGAAAAGCCAGATCAGCATTTGTGCTATTAAAGAGAATATGGGAGTCGAAGGAGCTGAAGCTGCAAACCAAAGTCAGAATCTTTAACACTAATGTCAAAACAGTTCTAATATATGGAGCAGAAACTTGGAAAACAACAGCAAGCATTACGCAGAAAGTACAGACCTTCATAAACCCATAGAAAGATCCTGAACATCAAATGGCCAAATACCATCACCAACAAAGATCTACTAGAAAGGCCTCACCAGGTGCCCATTGATGAAGAAATCCTAAAGAAAAGATTGAGGTGGATAGGGCATACTCTCCGAAAACACCCGATAGCATCACCAGACAATCCCTAACATAGAATCCACAGGGAAAAAGAAAGAGAGGAAGGCCAAAGAATACATGGAGACACAAGCTAGAGGCAGACACGCAAAATATGGGTTACATCTGGAAGCAACTGGAAAGGAAAGCAGAGGACCGTGATGAATGGAGAATTCTTGTTGAAGGCCTACGCCCCAGATGGGGTAATAAGGCATAAGAAGAAGATTTTTATAGATTTACTATTTTTATTTATAAATATTTCTAAACTCTGAACCCATGTGAAAGAAACATATCCACCACTTTTTCCTATCATATGAAATTCCATAGATGGATCATGATTCTCAAAAGATCTGATGAGTTTTAATCTAATTTGTTTTGTCTACTGTAAACCAGGGAGACTTTGTGGCCTCAGCTGAAATATTGAATCAAGCGAAAGTCAGATTTCCTTTCAACACATCCCATGCAGAAATCTGGCAGTCTTGCCAGGTGAGAATTGCTTTCACAAGAGCGCTCAACAACAGGAAATTGAATGAGGCTGAACAGCTATTGGTGGACTTGGAGGCTGTCGACGAACCAGAGGCTAAAATAAGGTTGAGCACGTACTACATTTGTCTTGTGAATAAGAGCAGCTTTTCAGTGTTAATGAAATTGTATAATTTTGTGAGGCCTTTTTCTAAACAATATGCTTGTGCCTAGTTTCAAAAGGATATAATAAATCTCATCCTTAACTGTTCTGTCAGTGTATTTATGTTTTGAATATCTGCTAAGCAATTTGGAAGAAATAATCTCAATAAAAAATGAGATAAGCTGAAAATAAATTAAAAACTGCAATGTTGCTGGATTTATTTTATAGACGAAGAACTTGAAGGATTTTTTAAAATCAAATTGTTTTTTTTTTGTTTTTTTTTAAATTTTCTATCCCATTTCCTTCACATGCATATCTAGCAAGGTAATAAAAAATCTGTTATGCTTTCAAATAGGAAACCAATGCTTCTAAAAGAAAAAGGCCAAGTAACAGAAGCATTTGCCTGCTTGGATCTGCTACTCAGTGAATGTGACAAGGAAAAATCTGAATATTTTGCCGACTATAGATGCAGGTAATGAGATACATTATTAAAATTCGATGAATATTGTTTTAACATATTTAACCAAAAAAAATTGTTATGGCTCCTAACAGTAGATTTTCTGAAAATTATTTTTAAAGACTTAGGTGGTAATATTAACAAATTGGTATGATTCAAAGAGGAGGGTAATTTAGGCTCTCAAACTAGATTCTATACTATGGATGAAAAGTGTATTGCACCATGATTAATTGGTGAGAAACTTTACTATCTGTTAAAAAAAGAAATATTCAAATCTACTAGCACTCTTTGACCCACCAAACAAGTATTCAGAAAAATATCTGCTGTATCAGTTAGGAGAAGACACAAGGCCTACTGTTTTTTTATAAATTAATATAAGAATAGTTGGAGTATATTATATTTGGATTTTACCTAGCATGAACCCTGCATAATGTTGGTGAAGTGCCCAACAATAATTTTAAAAAATCTTTTTTTTAATGAAATTGTTGTGATTATTGTGACACACATGTGACATTCACAACCCAATAGTTGAAAATTGATTGAATAGACTAATTTAATGGTAAAAATATCAAAATCTATTATTTCACATATTTCTGATTGGACGAAAAATATGATAAATAATCAATATTGCTCAAAACATTTGCTCTAGTAGAATAAAAAAGAAACAGCCCAATTCAATGCATTTATTACAAACTTTATTATGTAGGGTTCTCCTTGAGTTAGCTGCTTTGTCCATCACCACTGGCAACCAACAGCCCCATTCAATGCATTTATTACATACTTTATTATGTAGGGTTCTCCTTGAGTTAGCTGCTTTGTACATCACCACTGGCAACCAACAGCCCCATTCAATGCATTTATTACATACTTTATTATGTAGGATTCTCCTTGAGTTAGCTGCTTTGTACATCACCACTGGCAACCAACAGCCCCATTCAATGCATTTATTACATACTTTATTATGTAGGGTTCTCCTTGAGTTAGCTGCTTTGTACATCACCACTGGCAACCAACAGCCCCATTCAATGCATTTATTACATACTTTATTATGTAGGGTTCTCCTTGAGTTAGCTGCTTTGTACATCACCACTGGCAACCATAGCTTTGCTGTGATCCATATAACAGACTGTATAGCACATGCTAAAAAACATTATCTAGAACTGTATGCAGGTCTTGGGACAGCATATCTTGCCTTTGTTCAGGTCAGTTAGTTTTTTTGGCAGATTATAGGAACAATAAAATATTTTCCAAAATATATAAAGATAAAGTCACGCTAAAAATTTTCACATTAGGTTATTTTGTACCAGTTCACTTTCTTACACATTAGCTTTCCCAGTGTCGCTCACAAGGTTAAGAATCTGGATCTCCCAAAGTTTGGGGACAAGACAGTGATATCTGAGAGGAGTTTAAATTCTGGACTGAGGAAATCTAGTCAGAAATTGAACTCAAATTGTTGAAATTTCTTTGTTAATATTTTGTGTATATGATTTTAAAAAATTTTAAAAAAAAAAATGGCTTTTAGTCATCTGGTGTTTATTATAAAAAAAATTAAAAATTAAATCCTTTAAAGAAATTGTTTTTAGCATCTTTAGTTAATGTTCATTAATGTTTTTTAATGACCCATTTAATGGTGTTAATAATGAAATAATCAGTAAAAACTTATGCAATAAAATAGGTATAAAAGCTTTCAAATTGCTGAAGAAATTTCAAGATATAGAAATACAGCAGTTCAATCTGAAAATATTCTTTGAAATGCATCCACATAATTTTTTTCTAACACTTTATAATCCCCGAAACACAGCTAAATATGAATTTACCAGAGCAAGGCATAAAACTCATTGAGTCTCATCTCATGAGCATCCTTACCAATGCCTCAGCTCAGGACAAGGCACGAGTGTTGTATGTTTATGCAAGGTGTAAAGTGGCGGCGGCAAAAAATGCAAATTTGAGTAAAGCTGCTAAAAAATCAGGTAACAGGAAATCATCAGGGTTGTTTCCTACCTTAATTAATAAAGGTATTCTACAGTTATGTTTAATTTATTATGCTACTAAAAATAGCAAGGCATAAAACATAAAACTATAAATACTATTTTATTTTTTGCATTTTATTTTAACATTTTTAAATTTAACTCTCATAATCAACCTTTTTAAAGAGTTTTGATTTTAGGTATTTGTTAAATATTCTCGGAGAAGTACGTAATTAAAAAAAAACCTGGAAGTGTAGTAAGCTTGCATGTGTAGTAAGCTTGCATGGGGGATCTGATGCAGCATCATGGCAAGAATACAGAAGGCAAGAGGAGATTTTTACTTACTTAACCATTTCGTTACCGATGAAGTTGACGTGACGTCACAATCACCCACTTTCAATTACCAAGGACATCTCATTGTCATCGTAACAAAGAGGCAAAGAACTTTTATGAAATACCAAGGACGTCACATCGACGTCATATTTCAATGCTATATATTTCTTTATTCAATAATCTCTAGAGAAGTTAAAAAGAAAATTGGATAGAGAATTAAAAATACCGGAAATGACTTAAATTTTTTTGCTGCTGAGTCAGAAAAAATCAATGCCAAAACCAGCGGTAATGAAAGGGTTAAAAATATTTGGAACTCAAGGTAAATAAGGAGAAAGACAAAAATAAGAATTTTTTACTCAAATGTAAAGTCAGTTTTGTATTAGTGGTTGTGCTCAGAAAGCTGGTGATCAACAAAGAAAGATTGTAAAAGACTTGTAACCTTCATTAAGAGTTGCCTGCGTAAAATTCTTAACATCAGTTGGTTCCTCAAAATCCCAAACACAGTGTGATGAAAGCACGAATCCAAGTGGAGCAAGAAATTCGGAAATGAAGGTTGAAATGGATGGTGGGGAACACCCAAGGATCAAGAGGATGGGGCAGAGCCAAAACCACCTGGCGTAGAGACGGATGATCTTAAGATTGGAACGTGTCGGAAAGAGTTTGAGAAGATTACAAGAGACTGGAAGGCATGGAAATATATTGTTTATTTCGGGTGGCTCTTCAATTCTTTTTGATGCTCAAAATTAGAAATATTTTTGTTGTTTTTAAATTTTGTATTGTTTAACTTAAAAAATTGTAAAAGAGTTTGCTATTCACTTTTATAAAATTAACTTTCTGAAAATTCCATCCATCCTTGTGACGCTAATGCCCATATAAAGCTTTGGCCTGTCTCACCATTTCCTCGCACTCAGACCTAACATGCTTTTCTTTTCCATTCTTGGATTCCCAGCTGATGTAGATCTTTTTCCACATCATCCATCCATCTAAGCCTAGGTCTGCCTTTGAGCCATTTCCTCTGGGGTTTTGGTGATGCACCAACTTCACTGTCATTTCACTCTGCAAAATTTATTTAATTAATAACAAACAAAAGTAAATATAAAATTTTTTGCTCTATTTGATTGCTTAAAAAGTAGAATGCTAAATTGTTTCAGAATTGATATCTGCCCTGAACTTGATGTCGACCATCACTTCCTTGTTTAAATCTGTCGAGGCCCACATGATGGAAAAAGATGCATTATACTTTCAAGCCCTGCTCTACAATGAAATGGGGAACATCGACTTGCGCAACAGCTGTGCCCACCAGTTCAAATTGTTGGACAAATTGTATCCCACACTTAGTTCAGTTTCAGTCAATTTTGTTTGATAGGGATTATTGTTAGCTGTACTATGTTTGTGTTATATTTTAAGTGTATTCGCAAGCGGGGGAGGGGCATCAGTGCCTGTCTTAGCCCTAAATCAGTTTTCTTTTTCACATTATTTCAGCCACTGCTAACATACAGTAAATTTGAAGCTACAGTTATACACTTAAATTAGAACCCACAAGGACTTTGAACTTTCTTATTATAGTTTTTTTTTAAATTAAAAGTACAAAAGTACTGTCATTGAAATCTTGTAACAATTGAATGTTGAGATTGAGATAAACAACAAATGGAAACTCCTGCTGGATTTAATTTTCTTGAAATTTGTAATTTTAACCTATATTTAAGGTCATCTGATGAATGAATACCCCTCATATTAATATTTTGTTGTGAACTTCCTTACTCAATGCTAGATTAAGAGTTTTTGAATGTTTGTTGTAAATGAATTAATTGACTGTGAAAAAATAATAAAAAATTATGCATTAAGTTGACATGTCTCTGATCATACTTTGCTTATTTCTATATTCATTACATTTTACATTGATTATATTTTAGCTAGCTTAATATAGATGGCCTCTCATCAGTCATGCCCATACATGGTGAGAGGCAAGAGCCCAGGGCACATGGGTCACGGATGGCGCAGGCATAGTAGGCCCCTATTTATCTTTCTTGGGGTTTTCAAATAAGAATAATTATAAATTTCGCAATTTCAATTGGAGCTTTGAGGTTATGTTGGGACTTGGAGCTTTGAAGCTTATGTTTGGAAATGCACTGGAAAAACACTGATGCAAAGAGCAACAACAACAAAATGGGTCCCATTGAATTAAAGTCTGGTGATACTGTCAAATGTAGGGCCTAGATGGAGTTTATCTCAGAGTGGTCAGTCTTTCTAATTTAATTATGGAAACGGTAAATTTAATTTCCCAGGCACTTAATAAAACTTTTAAATCTAAAGTAGGCTATAAGTATAATAATTTTTAACTTCATAATGTAAAAAAAATGTGAAATTGTAGAAAGGACTAAAAAGAAGTCTTTTTAAAGGGGTCTTAAATGGGCGAGGAAAATATTTCGTGCGTGACAACCAATAAAACATAAAGTTTCATTGCTCTAACTTTATAAGAAATGTTGTGTGTAAAAAAAAAAGAATTGGGGGGGGGGGGGGGGGGGGGGCGCAGATTGGAAAAAGGCTGCATCTACATTGGCGACGATGGGTACTCGGGTACCCATAGCCACTTCTGAAGAAATAAGGGGTGGTAACTTGTTATCTCTCATAACTTACAAAAACGGAAGTAGAACTCACGTTTTTTTTAATTGGTAGAGAAAATGGCAGCAATGAAAACGCTACCTTTGAAGGTATTTAGTAGTAAATTGTAAATTATGCCTACAAATAATTTAGAACGATGGGTGAAACACGTTCTATGTCGAAATATATTGGGTTTACATGTATGTTATAGAATGCAAGTTTTAGGGGACTAGTACTAGGTTTTAGTCTAATGATGTCACGTCTTTGTGATTGTGACCTGCAAGTGCACTCGCAGACTGACGAGAACAATAGTCGTAGGTACTTGGATAAAATGAGGAAATTTATTTAAGAAAATGGGCCAATTGGGTGCAAAGAGAATGCGCCATGACGTCATTGACGTGTTTTTATTAAGTTTCTGATTTGGATTTACTCCTTAGGTTTAGGGATAGATTTAGTTAAAATGTAGTGATTTTCTGATTTAAATTTAGGGTTAAAAATGGGGACGCCTGCCACTTTTTTATCAAATTTCACGAATGTATCCCTAAATTGATCCCTACGCCTAACCTGAACCCTAAATCGATCCCTATGCCTAACCTGAACCCTAAATCGATCCCTATGCCTAACCTGAACCCTCAATGGATCCCTAAAAATAACCTAAACCGTAAACCCTAATTTACTCATTACTCAATTCACTGCAACTATTAACTATAATTAATAATAAAGACATAAAAGACGTCGTAGCAGCCGTCCTGGGTTTTAGCCAAATTTAGGGTTCAGATTATGGTTAGGTTTAGTTAGGAATACATTTTTAGGGTTCAGGTTAGGCTTAGTACGGCGGCTTAGGTATGCATTTAGGCACATTTTTCCATTAAATTTTAACATTATATTCCTATTTTTAGCAACAAAGATGGCGGCTGTGTGATACATCATGGCGCAGTCTCTTTGCATTTACCGCCAATTCTTATGAATATGACCTAAAAAGATCATAATCATAGCAATAAATTTGTAATCCAGAAGATTTTAAAGTAAAAGCCCTAGATTGAATTACAGTTGCTACGCTACAGTGATTCTAATTTTAACATTTAAATTTGATGAAAACTGTTTTTGATATTGATACATATTTTGTAAAAGAGAATGTGCATTTCTTAAAAAGTATTACAGAAACCACAAAAAATCTAAATAAATTTTACTTAACTTGGCATAATATAATTTAATTTTTTGAAATAAAAGTCTGTAAAATTTGGGTTAACGGTTGTTATTTAGTTGTCTCACTCTAAGCACAGTGACTGTACTTTGGGAATCCCAACATTTGGAGTGAATATACCAATTGTAGTACCTGAGCGAGGTGTGTGATAACTTTCCTGTTTTTGATTGACCTTTTTACTGAACATTACTTGAGTTTTAAACTAGATCTAAATCTGATGATCGAATCAGTTAATATGAAAGAAATTAAAATAACAATCAAAATTTTCCATTTACTTTTTATTAAAATTCAACGTACACATTTCAAAAGAAACACATTCTTGCTGATACTGATACCCCAAGACCCAACTCTGGTGAAAAGAAGACACATGCTAAAAGGAATTAGATGATAATCAAAGTACCCGTATGTTAATTACTTGGGTAACAAAAGGAGACTACCACCTCCCCTCCCCCCCC